TTCGGGGGTATTAGCTCTTTGTGGTAATTATAATATTAAAATATAATATTGCTGTTTCTCGAATACACACGCGGAGAGAAGTTTGTTCCGCTCAGAAAGTAAAGGATGCTCCAAACTTTCGTGGTTGCAAATAGTATTTTTTTTTTTTTTTTCATCGAGTTCTACATTTTATTTTTATGGCGTAGCAGAATTTCGTTTGTGCGTAGTTCAGATAAACGGTTCGCATGATTGAAGCTCGTGCAACGAGAGTTCACTTGTCCAACGATTTTTAGTTTGTCGCGAGTCTTGATAAATCACGATAAAGCACGGTCAGAAATCACGTTAAGACATTAAAAACCAGCAACAAGCAGTTGTCCTCTCGTCAGACGATTTTTAGATGACATATTGCAATTCAAGACATCCACCGGGTAAAATTATATTTCGGTTCTATCGTACGAAATGTTCGTAGAATCTCTTGCGTCGAATTTCACATTCTCAATGTAAAAATTTTTCTCGTTAAAAAAACAAAAAGAGACTATGTCTCCGTGTAACCTGTACTACAACACGACTTTTCTGTGTCCTTAAAATTCTCCACGACACGCCCAGAAATTCCCATTTAGATTCAAAAACCACGAAAAAGAGAGAAGTGGGTCACGAATTTCCGTCGCCTAGAGGTCGGTTTTAGGCTTCTTGTCATTTTACGCGGTGGTCTGAGAGTTCGATGGCTTTACGAACCGTTTACACGGAAAGTAGGGTTCATCGATCGAGGTGAGGCGCTACAGGGAGTCGCTTACGTGACCTGAACTTTCGTTTCGCCGCTGGGTCGGACAAAGAGGCCCGTCCCTTTCCTCATATTCATGGTAAACACACCGTACGGGCTGGTTCGTTAAGTCAAGCCTACCGTGGCTAATTCGCTTTAACGCAATTTCACCTGGTTTTATTTTTTTCCAACGCGAGCCACGCGACCGATGCTTGGCCTCGCCGGGGCTTGGGATGCGCTCATTTCTTCGCAAGGGCGATACCCTTCTGCCTGCGCAAGTGTACACTGTCGTCCATAAGTGTTTGTGTTGGAAATGTGTAAAATATACAATTCGTGCAATTTTTTCTACTTATCGATATTCTTTCTCGAGATATTCATCTCTGTCAAGATACCGACAGAAACTGTAAACAACATTCGATCGATGTAAATAAGAAAAGAATAATTGAAAATGGACGAGTGGAAATTTGTTTTGCGAAGAATGAGCAAATCGAACTCGAAACGTTCGTCGAGAAATGTAATTTTAGCGACATTTGTTGCGAGATTACGCTCACGAATAAATAAATCTATTGGCTCGAACGTAGAAATTATTCTATGCAACCTTGTAGGATTCACTAATCTAGTATAAATCACTTTATTACCATCTATACGTAATATAATTATAATATAAAACGCACACACACTTGTCACACTCTTATAAATTCTAAATAAACTATTATATACTCTTTTAATCTCTTTAAACTCTTTAGACTCTTTACACGTGGCTGTAATGAAACGTAGGATGGCGACACCCACCCGTGTCCCACCACAACACATACTTAATATATACTTAACAACATTTTAAAAGTATAGAAATTTTACGAGTACATTATCAAGTACGTTACAAACAAGCGTTGAACTCGAATGGTGTTTCCTTGTTTCGGTCTCTGCTGAGCATCATTTCGATTAATGCAAGGGATGAAGAATTATGAAAATTCTATTAAAAGTTCAGAATGCAGTAAAAATATTAATCCTTTTTAATCGAATTCTACCGACCACCGAAATATAAACGTTTATTTATGAACGGTGTTGTACAAAAATTGTAGTTGACTAGATGCAACGAATTTCCCTCGCGTTCGTGTACACACGGTGGGAGTTGTCGCAACGTAACCAGACTTTTCATTCGGTCAATTTGCCCCTTTCGTTGCGTGTTAAACCGTTCAATGGCGAATCTCTGGCGCGGAGCGTAGGGGAAGCGTGGGGATCGGGTTCTGGTAGAATTGAGATTGATAAAGGGAAAATGTCACAAAATGACGCGGCTCGGCGCGGGGCTCGTGACGCGAATATCTCGACCTTACCAGCGGAGGGTTAATATTAAATGCAACAATGGAAGCGTTCTCGCGGAAAAAAGCTTGCCCTTGGTAAATACCATCGGTTCGCGATGGTCCGGTGTTGGAACGTTGGAACGTTGGCGCTCCAACGTCGAGCATTTAGTACGAGTTCCGGTGATGTAGAGCGTTCCTTCCTCTATTACATCTTCTCTGTGAAATCTCCGACCGTGATGAAAGTGCCGGCTCTACCGCTGCGTTATCTCGTGGCTGTTAAATTCGTTGCTGCCTGAAATATCTACGACTTCAGCAAATATTCGGATCCAACGTTGAGCAAATCTTTGACCATTCTTTTCTATTTTTACGGAGTGCTGTTATCAGGGACGTTGTTAATTCTGTGTATTTAATTCTTAAACGGCTCCGAACTTTACGTTTACAGTTTACGTTTTCATTTGTAAGCGGGATCGTTCGGTGGATGACGATTGGAAATTAAATTAATTCCAGCCTGTTCTGTCTTAATTGTTTTAATTTGTCTCCGTGAATTTCCTGATTCAATTTAATATTAGAATTCCAGAGAATTGGAAAATTCGAGAGAATCTGTTTCTAATTTATTTATAATTGATTTAAATTCGGACGATCCACTTGAGGATTACAGGGGGCGAGTGATCTCCTCGCGTACTTTCGTCTTACGGAAAATCTGACGGGAGAATTTCGTTACGAAGGAATTCTGTTTATAAGGTGGATGAAGGTTGGAGCGACAGAAGAATGGGAAAAGTTGGCGGACTTTTTTCTCGTTGGATCGCGGGGGTTGCGAGATAAAGCAAAGGACTCGGTTGGCCACTTTCCCTTTCTCTCTCCTGCCGGCGAAACGCAGGCGAAGGATCGATAGAGGAACGCCTTCGCGGTGCGACCGGTCACGCAGCCCGGGCCGATGGTGTTCCTTACTTTTAATAGTCGTCGTTGCTCCATTATAACGCCGTAATTCGTTGCGTTGTTACGAGGAGAGGGAAAGAGCTTCTCTCTTCTCTCCGTGCGCCGGCACGTTTCCAGGATTTTTGCGTCTCATGGCCGAAAAGGTAGCGAATGAAACGGAAATTTATAGGAATGAGGCAAAAGCAGCTAAGCAGTGGCGCATACGTGCTCCACGAGCCGCGTTACTGAATCACGACGTCAAGCCTTTCCCGAGGCGGAAATTCTGTCCAACATTCAAGGTGTACATGTCCGGTCTATCGCGAAAAAAGAGTCCCGAGTTCGTTGTTTTGCATAATTGCGTAACGCGCTACGCGCTTCTTCGTTGCGGTACCTCTTTATATAGTTTCTCTCTCCGCTTCAACAACTGCTCGTTCGGTAAACTTCGTTACCCTTTCAACGAAAGCACATTAAGAATCCCTCTTTTTCCCTCCTTCCTTCTCCTCTCTCTCTCTCTCTCCCCCTCTGTTGGTAATTTTTAAAATCACTGCAGCACGGCAAAGTGCATTTAACGGAGCATCCCCCACGGTGGGGCTACTAGCGTCAGCGAGCAGAAAGGAAGCGTTTTCAACGTGTTTATCAGGCGACGGCGATGACGGTCTCCATGGCGTTCATGGCTCGTCGCGGTGAATTAATGTTTCGAATGCCGGGCGTTTGATCGTTGCACGTTGCACCGTGTAATCGCTCAACGAATAACGGCCCCCGTTTAGGGTGCTCGTTCACTGGTTTGATCGATCGGTTTCTTTTATATACGGAAGGACCGCCGTGAGTTGAACGGCTGCGAAGATCCTTCGCTCGATGCTTTTTTAATACACCGCGACTTATCTTCGTCGATTTCGCCGCGGTGGACGGGGGAGCGTTATCGAAACTCGATTTTTACACCGTCGAGTTTGCACTTTCGCCGCGTTCGTGCGTATCCCATGGCTGACCACGACGAGAACGAAACGCGAAAGTCGTTAAGGGCGCGAAGGGCGAAAAAAGAATCTCGTAAAATGCTGATATAATGGTAACGGGCACACAGCGGTGGGAGGGGAGACAGGTTTGGGGCGCTGGCTCCTGGCAACTTTCTCCATTAAGGGATAAAATTCGAGAGGCGGGTGTTTCTCGTTCGACAACATCTTCGTTCCTCTACCACCCCCGAAGCGGCGACGATAAATGGAATGCTGCGCCGCTCCGTGGCGTTGAACGCATCGAAACACGGGAATTCCTCTCTCGCGTTCTGATTGGTATTTAACATAATTGGAAAAGATCTTTCAGTTAAATTCGTCAGGATTTTCGTGTATTTTTCGAATATTTTGGAATTGAAATTTCGTAAAAATGCACCGATCCGAAGTGAAGAATTTCGTTAAATTTGCGTTGAACATTTCTCTCGATGTCGAATTTCGTAGAGATTCTTCCACGAAAATCTCTTCATCTATTCCACGAAATATTTTTCTACTACTATTCCATCTATTTTTATTCTCGGGAAATATATATTCTGGCCGTATAACATTATTATGGTTCATACTTCCGTTATTGCCTGTCCCGAAAAGATAATTCAATCCCTGTTCACGTAGCACCCTCTCTTCCGTAGTAGAGTTTCTCCACCCTCCTAGAACTTAGGTGATACGTGCGATTTAACGAGAAAGGGGTTGTTCGCGATCGAAGCGGTACGCGCATGCGCTCTCGGCTTCCTCAGAGGGCGGTAGCGGACGATGTTCCTGAAATTTCCAGGTCGGTAATGCAGGAGGGATGATTTTCCTCTCGGAAGGGTAGTTTTCTCGAACCTCGGTTACCGACTTCGGATGTAGATGTTATCTGCTAGCTCCTCCATGGAGAATGCATATTTTGCAGCAACAGTCTCCCTGAATTCTCCGTTTCTAGCTAAAATCTGCACCAGCAGTCGATACCCGGAAGTGGTTGAAAATATCCTGCAGGTTTCTATCTCTTTTCGATATTTCTTTCACTTATCTCACGTCAATATTAAAAAATCTCACTAACCGTTTCAGGATCAGCGATTCACGTTGTTAATTGTAAAGCTTATAAAATTAGAATTGTTGCTACCATCTTTGTAGTAATTAACTTTGTCGTTACTGAATTCATATTTGCTCAATACGAGATATTTATTTTCAACTTTGCATTTCTTTTCATTCCGACTGATTCTGAAAGCTTTCGTGCGGCATCGTCGGTTAAATTTTGTTAAATTCCGAACGAAGAAAGGAAGGAAAGTAAATTTCGTGCTGGCGTTGCTTGAAAAGCGAGCTGGATTTAGCAACTATGTTTCGGTCTGTTTACCTTCTATCGAGCAAGAATTCGCACGAAACAGAAAAAAAGGCGACGATTTATGGCCGTTGGAGATTGGATCGATTCGCTGACAGTCTCAATATTGTTGTTTTTGTGCAACGCTTTGTCATCTTTATTGTTTCGAAAAAAAAACCGATCTGGTAATCATTCGGGAATTCGCGACGCGTAATAACTTCCGTTATCGGCGATAAATTATCAATTGAATGAACCCAGTTCTTCCGTTCCCTACAACAGAGATGGTCGCAATAAATGACACTGCATGATCGAATTTTATTCGTTTAAAACGGAAACTGGCGCTGGTCTCACAGAACATTCGCCAAATATTTTGACTCTTTTCTCTTGGTAGTTTCAAATGTCAGACGTTTATTTTTTCCTCCCTTTCCTTCTCTTAATTTTTCGTTGCTCCCCTTCTATTTTTTTTTTTTTTTTATAATACATAAAAATACATCGCAATTCTGTTTTCGCAGCTGTCACAACTCGTACAACGTTTTGTTTTTTTTCGGATGGAAAAATTCGTATTACGCATTTGTCATACTGGTGATCCTTTGTATTTCTATTGTCTCACGATTTTTTCCCTTCCTCGATTCAAATTCGAAGTTTACGGTGATTCGTGAAATATTACTGTTTTGCCAAGAATTCCAAAATCTTTTTTTCTTGGTCGAAATTTATTATCGCATTCTTTCAATTATACAAAATTTCGGAAGTGGAGATAATAATGACAAAAAAAAAAAAAAAAGAAAACAGAAAGAAAACAAATATTAAGCGAGAAGCGTCAAAGGTTTAGAATTTAGTGTAGATTTTTTGGTAAAATTGGAAAAATATCTAAGTGGATCGATATTGATACACTCGAAGAAGAAAGAAAGAGAGTGACAATTAGCTGTTATAACTCGACTCGAAACATGGAAGGGGAAAAGATCATTATTACCGAAGGATCTCGTTTGAAAGTTTGTCGCGATATAGCAGGTAGATAATTCATGGCCGAAAGTCGGCAAACGCACGTATGAGTACACCGTGAAACTTCAAATTTACGTCCGGGGAAACTAGTTTCGTTGAATCTGGCAAGCTAGGCAGCTAGTACAGGCCAACGTTTATTTACTTTAATTGCTTATGTAATTACGTCACGGAGAAGGTGCTTTTAATCGGAACACTTTGAAACCACCGGCTAGTTACACTGGTAATTAGGCAGGTATTCGTGAATCGTTCATTCGTTAAACGCACTTGCTTTCTCGTTAAATTTCCTTTTTATTAACTGAGTTAAGAAATTAGCGATTGACGTCGAGACTATTTTAATTATATCGAACGTGTTACGCGTTAGTCTGATTTTACAATGCGTAATGCTCACAACGCGGATTACAAAAGCGAATGTTTTACGATTCGAATCCTACCGGGAATTTCCATGTAATCCTAAAAGGGTATTACAACGATATGATATAGATTAACAAGGATTCTGTAAAATTCATGTTTTTGAAGTCAAAGTTACGCATCAAACATCGAGTTTTACCTTCTCTACGCTCGCTTGGAACACCTGTCGCGTAATTCGTTTACCTCGACCACTTGATTGAAAGAAAATTGTATTACTTTACACTTGCTACTTATTGTTTTTGCAATACGTCGTGAAATCATTGTAGAAAATTGTCGTACTGATCTATTCAGCAATCTACGCTTCATGATTTGCGAAAAATAATTACATTGAGAATTTTTTCAAGTATACCTTATATTTACTGTTACTTATAAGTATTTTCTTGCGATAGATACCAAATTGCGTTCATCTCTGCAACGTCGGTCTTACTGATTTACTCGGTAAATTGAAAAGCGTGAAAAAGTAATGACCACACAAACACAACTGTTCAAGTTTACCTTCCCTTGAAATTTTGAACGCCGGTCATTTAATTGTGACAAAATTGAAAAGCGAAATGATCAATTTGCCTTTTCAGAAACTCGCGTATGGTTTCGGTAGAATTGATCAATCGTTGACACGGTGGAATTTATACTATCGTCAAGTGTCTCTCTGTCTTTTGGATCTGTTGATGACTCGACGAAGTTTATGGTTTCGCTACTAAAGAGTCTGTATTTGATGGAGAAAGCCGGAGATAACATTACGTCGCTTGCTGTTTCTCTCAAAAGCTTCGCAACGAGTGCGAGGATGCATGCGCGACGGAACGTTCGGAACGAGCGTGGAAAACCATTAGAATCGGCGTCTGTACATTCGCAATTCTCGCGGTAATGGCGATTGCGGAGAGAGCGCGGCTTTTTAAAACCACGATTGCCATGTTTGAATTAAAAATACGCAATAAAAGAAATGCACTCGGCCGCGACATTCACCCCCTCCTTCGCCACAGCATTGTTCTCTCCCCTTTTTTTTTTCGGCGTGGTTAATTAAGAGACCATGCCTGGAATTTTGCATTGAATTCTCTTCTTTTTTTTTCCTTCGCCCCTTCCTCCCAGTTTCAGTGATCGTTCTGGAATCGTTGCCCGGTTTAATTAGTACACTCGTGTCTATTAGACACGTTATCGTATCCTTTGAAATTCCCTGCTTTTTGCGGACTTTATACACTTTACATTTTGTCTTTAGTATAGTCGTAGATGCGGATTTTTTAACTCTTCAGGTACAGCACCCGATGTTGTGACAATCTATCAAATTTGAATTTAAATGTTTAAAAATTTTGAAAATTAAACTTTCTAAAAATTTTACACAGTTATCACTAAATGACGTGTTTCATGCTGTTGATTTCATTTCTATGCGATTATAAATTTTAGTATCGCTGTACCAGACGGTGTTGAAGTAACCTTTGGTAGAGTTCAATGCAGATGAGATTTTCAATGAATGTTTAGAATATGTTTTTATGTCCGTTGTTTCTTCAGAGCAATTCACAATTTCGCGTCAGTCAGTCGCGAAAGTCTACGCGCATCTGTCAAATTTTTAATACTTAAAGAAAAACAAGGATTTCAAACTTTCCGCGGTGCCGATATATTTAGTAGTTTAAATTTTGCAGATGCTGAAAAAATGTCGGTTGTTTGTTAGAGAACGTGAATAAATCAAAACGAAAATATCATGACATTACAGACAGTATCGTTACATTAAAATATACAATATGTATTACAAGTGATAAATTTTATTTGCTTGATTGTGCGTATGCTTAATCGTATATTGATTTTCGTAAGATTTTGTTTTCAATTTATTTATACATTCTAGAGTTATTTATAAAATGTCGGAACTTTTTTTTTTTATTTGAAATTTAATAGATGACTGGTTGTAAGTAAAGATCGTCAGGTTTTGAATTTAGTTGAAAGAAACAGCGGTGGGTTTATTCAAGTGGTTACAATTCTCAGTTCTCGTCACGTTTTCAACATTCATCCATGAGATTATTTCATTTTCACCACTCCTCAATTACATATTTTGACGCTTTTGATCAGTTCTCTACATTTTGACGCAACGGGAGAGAATCAGCCCGTATGTCCGTGGCAGGAGTTCTTTGTACGGCCCGTCCTAGAACGGGAACAAAGCAGTCTTGCTAAATAGTCAGATAACAGTTCCAGAAACTCCCGTCAAAAAAAAAAAAAAAAAAAAAAAAGAAAAAGATGCTTAGTTACCAGGAGAAAAAGGTACTATACCAGCCACGAGCAAAATCGTCCACGGTTTTTCAACTATTCCTTCCTTTGTACTAATTGAAACGTATCAGCCAACCAACAGCGGTTATCGCGCCGTTTTTTTATTCGTCGCTATCGCAGTAGACAAAAGACTCGCGGTACAAGGCTCGCATGCTCGTTTGAACAAATTTTTTTTAAAGCGCGCGTCTGCCTGAATTACCAACTGTGCCGCTCTTTCTCTCTCTCTCTCTCTCTCTCTCTCTCTCTTTCTCTTTCCACGTGCATACTTCTCGCAAAATTCGACATTTCTCGTTCCTCTCCGCGTCTGGCAAAGATAGAGTTTCTTTGCTTTTTTCACCAGAAATAATTAGTGCCAGGCGCTCGACCCCTCTGTTATAAGGGGTGATATTTTTGGTCTCTCTCCAAAAGTCCCAACGGTGTAAGAGCATCATCAGCGGTGTGGCTGTTCTCTCTCTCTCTCTCTCTCTCTCTCCCTCTCTCTCTCTCGGGGCCAGGTAATGGCGAGTCGAAACGAGGATTCCGCGCAAAGAATTTTCCTCCCAACCCTTGCGCCTCCGTCTCCCGAGTTTTTTCCTCTCGCTCATCGTTTTCGGCTTAGTTGGCACGAAACGGCCAAATGAAATTGCGCGACAAAGGGGGAGGACAAGAGAGTGAAAAAAAGAGACGTACAGCGAGATTGGAGAGTAAGAGAAGAAACACGCGACGCACGGGGTGATCGCAGAGGAGGCGAGTCCCTGGCGCGAGAAACAGGTCAGTCGCGTTCCTTTGAAACGTCGACGTTTTCGATTCCCCCGGCGATTCTCGCGGCTAGGAGGAGACGTACCGAGGAGATAAGGAATTCCGGAAAAATCACGGGCCCCTGAATATGGACATTGACGCGTCTCCGGGGATCATCCTCGTCGTGTTTCTTCCGAGCTCTCTTCTTCATTTCTTCTTTTTTTCTTTCTTCCTTTCTTCCTTTTTTTTTTTTCTTTTTTTTAACGCGTTCCCAATGATCGAATATACACAGATTCGATAGATGCGAGAAAGTCACGTATTCGACGAACTTCGACACCGTAAATATCGTTTCGCCACGGGCTGCTTTCGCTCTGTGGCTTATCCTCGTTTGTTGTTGCGCGAGAAATGGGACTGCGGCGTGAGTGAGCGGGGCAGAAGGAGTTCA